GATGTCGGAAAGGCAGTGAAAAATCTGCGCCACGATGGGAGGCATTAATCTAGCTTTAAAAGCAACTTTTATTGCTGCATTTTACACCCTTAAAATCGAGCGATAAATCGTGGCTCCGTAAGTCGGGGTCCCGCCAGGAGAAACTCTTGCTTGTTAATTTTCGAAGTTGTCAGACAATAATTCCAATTTCTCAGCTTAGAGCTGATTGGGAAATGTTGCATTTTTAAGTGCAGATATTGCAAAAATATGCAAATATTGTATCCTGTATACTTTAGAATAATAATATCAACTGTAACTAGTAATTGTCCTTTCACGACTTAAAATAAATATACCTTCTTATAATAAATCGAAAGATTATTACGACTTTAACACAACACCCTGTAGCTGCGAAACAAAGGAGAATCGGACCTATGTTGATATGAAAAATAAATCTTATTTTTACCTGAGGAATCTTCCCACGAGAGGTGGCACATATTTTTTGAAACACGTTGCGTTTGGCGTTTCAGCTAAACATTGAGGTTAAAAATGTTAAAATTGGCACATGTCGTGTGCAAAATCCTTAGCACACAACAGTTTGCAAAACGCCAATTTCAAATCGAGTTTTCCGTGTGTCAAACTGCATTTTCTAGGCTAGTCGTAGAAAAACATTATTTACTACAAGTTTTCATTTGTACTCTCAGTTATTATTATTGTTACTCAGAAAATACGCTGGTTATATTAAAATTTCGTGCCACACTCGCATGACCTCTACATGTAAGACAAAATCAAACTATTGCGAAAGCACGTCTATTGGAAAGCTAGTTCTTACTCTAGTATTGCCACGAACTTCTCTTGTAATTAGGTTAAAGCATCGGGAGTATTAAACCGATTCCTGGATGGGAAAGTTTAGTAGGAGAGAGAGGGGAGACGTGAGGGGGAGTACATAACCTTATTGGAGGTCGTGTGTATCCTTTTGGCTGGCTCTGAAGCGATGTTGTGTAATTGTAACTTATAATTAGATATAACTTGGTTTGGGGTAATAGTACAATTCTCTAGAATTGTAATATACGAATGCAAAAGAAATGTTTTATTTTGTTAAGAAAATTAAGTTAATTTCATTGAAAAAAATCTGTAGTTTTTCCTTCTGACGAGAAATCTGAAAAATTAAAAAGTATTTATTTATTGTAAGTCCAAACAGAAACTTACAAGCTTGTTAGTAAATAGCTACTTTACTACTAGTAAAACAAAATATTCCATGGGTATAATGATAAATGAGGTATAAATTGTAAAAAATGCATTTTCTACGAAAACTTGAAGAGTTAGGTAAATAATTATATAATACAATTTGATGGACAATTAAATTGTGCATCTCATTCACGTAAAATATACAGGACGTTCCATTTAAATTACGATTATAATATTTATCAATATAATTTATGTACAAATACAAATTTTTAATATTCTACAGGAATAAATAAAACAACATAAATAAAACAAACTATTTTATTAATAATAACTCTTACCAAATTTTATACCTTAAAGGTTGATTAATTAACTTTAATCTTAATTTTTTTAAACCACTACCTTTTGATATTATTTTTCTGCAGTACTAAAATCCATTATTTACCTATCGTGTGATGTCGATATTTTATAGCTACTCCAGGTTTTAGTATGTGTTTAGTACGGTTCTTCTACCATAGTCGAGATGCACTTATCTACGACGAGATGGTATACGAACTTTATTGATGGTAACTTTATTAGTGTATAAGACTGTCTGCCTAGGCAGCGAGTATTAACCATAAACTGTGCTCTGGGTCTACAGTTAATTTTTACTCGATTTTTTCTCCACTTGACTTCAAAAGACACAAAACACACGTAATAACACGAATCAAAATGCATCATCTTCGAAAACGCGGGGTATTTGACAAAAGTTGACACAAAATTATAACCTACAATTTGGCAAGACTTTGACAAGCGTCAAAAATCTAAAGGCGAGTTCATACGAATCGGCGTCCATTTGTCGTTCATCGTTCCGTGAAACCAATAAAATTGAAATATGATCTGTCTTTTTTGAAATAAACTAATAAAACTGGTTAAAAACAACAAGAGACGACGCATGACGGATTTATATTTAAACCCATCCATAGTTAACTTAAAAATTATTAGAAACTTTTTTTAGCAAAATAAATAGATTGGTATGGGACATCTGCTTTTCTTATTACCTGCCAGTGAAAAGACAAATTCGGGTAATTTGACCTTATTTTTCCACACATTTGACACTGTCGTACCATATTAAAAATTCGCAGATTCAAAAGTACGTTAAACAAAAGCAAAAACTACTGAAAAACACTGAAAAGTTCACTTCGGACTTGATTCCGACTTCAAACACACCGTAAACGTAGTACGCTATAACGGACCATGGGCCGTCGCGAGGGGTGGTGGGACGGTCGGCTCATTTCATTCTGGAAGACTAGCAGCGACGTTGCCAATAGTTCTAGACGTTTCAGCACATTAAACAGTAAACATGTCCTTTAATAGTAACGCATATATCCTCTCTGGTTAATAACATATTATTACGCATGCTTCTGTAAAATAAACTATTAATTTAATTAAGAAATTGAGATTTATTGATATCCGGTGAAGGTTATAAAGTCACCTTTTCTGCAAATCAAACTCAGTAGATAGGCGCAAATTTGAGATGTGGCAATGTCGTCTTCTCTATCTCAGTTGGTTTTTACAGTACGTAGTCAACCTCCGATTGTTTGATCGGGTTAAAATGCAAAATGTGATATCTGTTCTTCCTAAATCTATGCTTATTCCTTATTTTAGTAGGTAAAAATATAAAAAAATAATAATTTTAATAACTCAAATAATTTGTATTTTTTATTTGATATTTAATATTGCGAAGATTTTTGTAATACAAAGCGATCAACACTCATTGAAATAGTTGGCAACAATCTGTTGGACCATTTTAAAATTAATGATTCGTACTGAAAAAAACGAGGAAAAAAATATACAGGGTGGCCCGAACTCTATACCGGAAATTTCGGCTGCATATTCTGCAGATAAAAATAAGTAAAAAAGTTCGTATAAATGTATATCCTAAAATACTTAGTTTCGGAGATACAGGGTGTAGAAGTTTTATTTTTATTTAGATTTTTTCCAAATAATTTCTGAACGAAAATTGGTGTCTGGGAGTTTTCTGACATGACAAATTTGATTTTGATGTCAGTATGACTCCTACTTGTAGAGGTCCCTACCTAAATATTTGAACTAGTTTGTGGAATAATAACTTTTAGTCCGTGCCTGTATAAAACTACGTAGTAAAAAAATATACATTTCCGATATATTTTACGTAAAAAAGGCTTCTTGGGAAAAATGGCTACGAGTAATGGTTCTCGAGATATTTGGAATCGAAGTTATCAATACCTCTCATCATTGACATAAATTAAACATATGTTGACTAAATAGTTATGAGACTGAAGTCATAAATTTGATATGTTTTTGTGCCAAAAGTTCGACAGAAACTGTTTTATCATCATTTCTTCGAAGAAAAATTTATGATTAATTTAAAAAAATAAAAATTTTCCGAATTTATTTTTTTAGTCAAATAACTATATAGTTAGTTACTAGCGAAAAGTTGTTCCATTATTTCACACATTTTTGCCGAGATCTACCGCACGCTACACAACCAACTATTTTCGAGTCTTTTTCAATAAATCGCGATAGTGTCACTGTTAATTTAAGTTCTGCCACAATTTCCATCTAGATTTACTACCTTTATACAAATATCAGTAGTAGAATAAATAATAAATAACATAAAATAAGCTCCGTAAAGAGTGACAAATCCACAAAATTTCAAATAAAATTCAAATGTGTCAAATGAATCGTTAAACAGAACTGTCAAGGATCCCCACCCTAGAGTCCTTTTTCCGCCCACCATGCATGAATACCTGGATAACATTATGCTCCTTCCTTAGTCTTCTTATTCAAAGCTAATATGCTTTCTTCTATTAGGTTCTTGGTCCAGTCTAATTAGGCCTAGACTGGTCCAACAAAGAATAAAAAATATATAGAGAATATATCTTAACCATCTAAGATTCACTGATGACATATTCTTAATTGCCAATAGTCCTGAAGAACACACAACAAGCCCAAATTAACTAAATAAAATCAGCAATAAAATAGGTCTCAAAAAGAACTTAATACTACCCAACGTGTTCATTTTTTGTCAATAATGACGTGTATTGATTATTTCCATCTAAATACCTTAAGAACAGTTACTCGTAGCGATTTTTATTAAGAGACATTTTTTACGTAAAAAGTCACGGAAATCTATATTTTTTTACTAAGTACTTTTATACAGGTACGGACAAAAATTTATTACTCTTTAAAACAGTTAAAAGACATACAGGTGGCGTCCCCTGCAAATAGGAGTCATAGTGACATCAAAATCCAAATTTCTCATGTCAAAAAACTCCCAGACACCAATTTTCATCCAAATATTGACGTTACTTGAGAAATTATTTGGAAAAAATCGAAATAAAAATGAAACTTCTAAAACAAAAAAATGAAACGTTTAATTATACGAACTTTTTTACCTATTTTTATCTGCAGAATAAGCTGCCGAAGTTTCCGGAATACAGATCGGACCACCTGTATAATATATAATCTATTTCTCTGGAAATCTAAGAAAATCTACAAAATAAAATAGTTATTTCTTGTAAACCGCACGAAAATAAAACAACTTTTTTTGTGTTACAACAATATTTCAACATGTTTATCAAAACTTTTGTTCACAATGGTAGATAAACAAGAGTTTACTAACAATTTGGCAAAAGTGTGTATTTTTTTTTGAAAATATCAATCTGAAGCTGTATTTAAGAATACTGGCCATAACATAACATAAAATTAATTTTATTTATTATTATCTATGTTGAGATTTTGACTTATTACTGATTCTCTTCTCTCCCTTTTCGAATAGCGAACGTTTAAAAAAATGTACCATGTTATTGTTTCAGAACAAAGTTACTCGAACACCAGCAAGAAGAAAAACACATTTTCTCGGATCCAGAGAATATTTAAAACGTCCCATCGGAAGGAAAAGCACGGGTCCAGTTCTCCAAGGCACGGAAGGGCAGCAGCCAGAGGTGTTCCTCAAAGGGTAAGTACTTTCTTCTAAGTTTTAACTTTGTGGTTATCTTTATCTTTGACATCGTTTTATTTCGATTATACAGTATTTTACAACGTTGCATTTAAAAGTTCTGTATAACCCTGTAACCTAAATTACGTGTACAGAAAATTATTTTTTTTGTCACTGTATGAGTTTGCTTATAAGGTGTCATATCATTTTAAAAGAAATTATTGTTTTATGTATTCACTGTCAAAACAACAATGGAAATAGAATAAAACTATGAAAATTACGGTTTAGCACCACAGTAGCAACGTAAAAATAAGAATACCAGAATTTATAGAATATTAAAAATAAAATAGAGTTAGCATATGTATAATTGGGGATTTTGAGTACAACCTCCATTATGTATGCCCAGCAACGTAGTGAAAAATGTTAACCATTAGCAAATGACTAAGAAGCAAAGGCTTTAGTTAGGTTAGGTTAGGTTTCAACGCACTGTATATGCAAGGTGGCCCGAACTGTATTCCGGAAACTTTGGCAGTATATTCTGCAGATAAAAATAATTAAAAAAGCTCGTATAAATGTATGTCCTAAAATGCTTAGTTTCGGAGATACAGGGTGTAAAAGTTTCATTTTTTCCAAATAATTTTTGAATTAACGTCAATACTTTGATGAAAATTGTTGTGTGGGAATTTTTTGGTGTTGAAGTTTCATTTTATTTCGATTTTTTTCAAATAATTTCTGAATTTACATTAATATTTTAATGGAAATTGTTGTCTGGGAGTTTTTTGACATGAGAAATTTGATTTCGATGTTGATATGACTGCTATTTGTAGGGGGCGCCAGCCACATGTGTTATAACTGTTTTATTGAAGAGTGTTATTGAAGAATAATAAATTTGGGAAATTATTATTTTTTTAAAATTAATCATACATTTTTCTGCGACAAAATGATGATAAAACAGTTTCTGTTGAACTTTTGGCTCAAAAGTATTTCAAATTTATGATTTCAGTCTAATAAATATTTAGTCAACATGTTTAGTTTATGTCAATGATGATAGGTATTGATAATTTCGGTTCCAAATATCTCGTGAACCATCCCAAGTAACAAAATTCCGACTTCCGACTAGTTTTGACTACGCGCAACGTTGAAATTGGTACTTTTTCCTACCCTATGCATACCCAAATCTGAAATTACGTATAAACCGCAAAACGTCGCTACGACGTTGCACTTAAACAGTTGTATATTTTGACCCTTAACAACGTTGGTAAACGTTGTAGGGCACAACGTTGTTAGAAATTCAGTTTTATACCGTTGACATTACGTCGCCAGAGGGCATGTTTGTTGTACTACAGAATAACAAACGTAGTACAACGTTGTGCAACGTTCTTTTAAATTACGAGTGTAAGTACATACTAACTACAACGTAATACAACGTTTCATTAAACGACCCAAAGCAACTTCAAAATTATAACCAATTACTACGTTGGATTACGGCGACGAGCGCGACGATATCGATTTATGATTTAAAAAGTTAGGTTAACCAAGTAAACTATAATTTTAAAATTAAAACTAGGAAATAAAAATAAAAAAGGGGTTTTGCCATATTTGGAAGTATCATGGTCACTTTCAACAGTAAACTAATCTTCGTTGATGAATTTCAATTGCCGACATCTCAAAATTTTGCAGATTTCTCGAAGTTAAATTCACCTAGTTATTTCTTAATGGAGCATAATATATTCCATTTCTAATTCATACATCATCAGCCATCACCAAGTTAATCGAAATCAATGTTTTGGTTTCCCCATGGTTGAATATACTAATATTTGACAACTAATATTCTTAACTCTAACCTCCAAATATCGTGAATCGGCATGAAAAACAACTTTTAGCACACGACGTACTACGTCGCCTCAAACAACGTCGTTGTAGCGACCCTAAAAACATCCACCATTTTAGTGCATATATGGGTCGCTTAGACGTCGCTTCGACGTTGTTCGGCAACGTTGGGTTTCTTCTGGCGACGTTGTGATTACGTTGAACAACGTAATTTTGCTACTTGGGATTACTCTTAGCTATTTTTACTAAGAGACTTATTTTTTACTCAGTAGTTTTATACAGATACGAACAAAAAGGTATTACTCTTCAAACCAGTTAAAAAATATGTAGGTTGCGCCCTCTACAAGTAGGAGTCTTATTGACATCGAAATCAAATTTCTCATGTCAAAAAACTCCCACACACAAATTTTCATACAAAAGTTACTTTATATAAATTATTTGGAAAAAATCGCAATAAAAATGGAACTTCTACATCCTCTATCTCCGAAACTAAGCATTTATATGAACTTTTTTAACTCTCATTTTTATACTGCAGAATAACGCTGTTTCCGGAATACAGTTCGGACCACCCTGTATAATAATTCTATTTTAAATCTGTTATGTTAATCAGAGTAATGGAGGTAATAGGCACGAATGGCCTATTACCTCCTAAAAAAAACTAAACCTAAACTTCTATCTGATTTTCATAACTCGCGTGCATATGATATCAATTTCTTTATACTAATTAAGTTCCCCTCCATTTGTATAAGTCATCGCATGACGTTTCACTGTCAAAACAACAACTCAAAAAGAATAAAACTGTGAAAATTACGGTCGAGCGCCGCAGCAGCAACAGCAGCTTTATCAACGCTCGCTGCTACCCCGTGGAAAGCGGTGCAGCGGCACTAAACTATGTTTTATCGGGCATGAAATCCTCGACACTCGTTGACAGCGCAATTTTCCTCAGCTGTCCACGCCAAAACAATCGAATTAACCCCGGACGCCGCCGCCGCCGACGCGGATTGCAGGAATTTAACGAAAAAACGAAAAAATTAAAAGTAGAGAAAATAAAACTGGCGTATGTTGAATACGGGTATGAAGGGGGGGAGGAATGTTATTTGCCGTTTAAAATAAATTGTTTTATTCTCGTTTTGTTTAATTATAATAAGTTAGCTGGTCCGGCAATCGTTTCCAACTCACAAAATGGAATTCTAAAATGATGGAATGGTTCTATTGTATTAAATATTGTTAGTTTTTAACAAGGTTTTTATTGCTATCATATTGATTTATTATAAAAATTGTTCTATCTAATGATTTTATAATAGTTTCTAAACTATATGCTGTAATACATAAAACCCATTTTTTTTTAAATGATATGCAGGATGGTCCAAATTGTAATCGGAGAACTTCGGCTATACAGGGTGGCCCACCTCATTCACCTCGGTTGATTATTCGAAAACGGAAAGATGTAGAAACAAAATAATTTATGGGTATATGTGGGAAGGCAATGTGTATAATTTAAAATTATTTTAAAATGTACAGGGTATGTCAGAACTAAGATTCACACCAAAGTTATATTTTTTCTTATGTATCCGTGGACACAAAATAAGGCATTTATTATAAGGGTTAAATATGTTTACAAGCTTTATATAGATATTTACCATTTGATTCTTAAGAGTTGTCGAAGGTGTCTCTCTTGCAACTTGATTAATGCGCTCATGTGTCGACAGTCCCAGGTTTCGCTTCCATATAACATGGTGGGGATTACTATTGCTCCGTACACTGCAAGTTTTGTTTTTGTGCTCAGTCCCGTCTTTTAATTTGTAGAATGCTTTTGAGGCGCTTCTAATCCTGTGCTGAGTTTCAGAGTCTATATTAGCCTTTTTCGAAATCAAACTGCCTTTTTTCGGAGATTAATTGTTAACAGATTGCCGCATCTTAGTAAATTGCTAATGATTTTAGTACGTAGTTGAACATACAAGATGGACGTTATATTCAAAATCCCCGATTACACACTAATTCTATAGTATCTTTTTATTGATCTGCAAATTTTGGTATTTTAACCAGTACCAGAGAAACTGTGATAATATTAAGTGTTGCATTAATTTATATTTATTTTGCAGTTTAGTGTTGCTGCACTATTTTTTACAAGGTTACGTTGAAAATATTGTTGCTATTCTGGTCCTAGACTGTAATTTTTATAGTTTTATTTTATTTTCCGTTGTTGTTTTTGCAGTGGGATGTCATGCGATGATTTATATAAATGGAAGGGAACATAATAGTTATAAAGAAATGCGAATCAGATACACCCGAGTTATGAAAACTATGCAAATCAAAAGTTATGTATAAATAATGGTCACTAGAACGGTGACACCTACTACTTTGATACTTTGATTATCCTAGCAGATATAAAATAGAGTATACAGGGTGCGGAAAAACTTTGGACACATAAACATAATTACTTAATTATTAAAAAAGTCTATTATGTATTTATATTTAGTACTTCAAATTAGGGACTTTTATTTTTAATGGTATTTTATTGACTTGCATCCGAAAAATTGTGTTCAAATTTTAAAGGATATTTCAAAAAGTAAATTAAAAATGTTGGGTTTAGTAAAAAAATTAGATGAATTCAGACTCAGAAACTAATCATACTGTTTATTTTTTCTAAAATTCTAAAAACAGTGCTATTACATTTACTTGTACCAAAAAAATTGTGTTTTAATGAAATGTAAAGCTTAGTATTTAATTAAAGGTATTGTCGGTAAATTTCTATTCAAGTAAATGAAAAAAAAACAATTTAGTTTGTAGCTAATAAATTACACATTAATTGTTTTAATTAAGTCTAAGTAGACGCAAACTATCTAGCACAATTTCCTCTTAGTTTCTTCGTGGAAACCAAATACTTAGCATAAGATAATATTTAGAAGCACTTAGAGCTTTACAACGCTATTATACGAGAAGTTTCTGGAACAGAGCGACTTAGTGTTAACACTAAATTGCATTAGATTCAAATCTTGATATTACTCTCGAAAATGTTGAACTGTTTCTGTATTATGTCAATTACAGAGACGACCAATATTTTTTTATACCTTACAGTGTGGCGCATTAGTCTGAGGAAGTCTAATATCTTCGTTGTTGAAATAAGTCTAATATCTTCGTGGGTCAAATTGGATGCTTTTAAAGGGAAACTTCTGTTTCTATGGGAGATA